CCCCAAAACCCCAAAACCCCAAAACCCCAAAACCCCAATTTTAATATAAAATATTGAAACTTTATTCTTTATCATCAAGTGGTTCATCTTTGACCTGTGCTTTATCTTTCCGCTTTTTAATAATTTCTTCTTTCCTGATATCATCAAGGTCAAAGTCATATCCTCCGAAGAGATTCTGTATGGAGTTTCTACGTAAAAGCTCCTCATTTTGATCCAGAAGTTCCTTGTTCTCCTCCTGCCATTTGTCTGGAGAATTTGCTTGCTTCTCGTCAAAATTATCTACTCCTGTTTTTGGTACAAACGGAGCAGGAAGCTTATTTATCAATAAGTAGCTGCCACTCTATTGATCTTAACCATTTATGTTGCTTTAATTCTTCTGGGCCATTATAACCAAGTCTATTTCATGGCTTTCTTTGTAAGAGTTTGTTAATAAAGTCAGCACATTCGATAGACCAGCCATCAGGAATTTGGCTCTTCTTGATCTTGACTTGTTTAGCGAATATATTGTCTCTGATATCCTTCCTGCTCTTGCCAATGTATGGTCTCTTTCCCATCATGAATTCGTAGCATATAACTCCTACTGCAAAGTAATCAACAGAAATATTATGGTTTTGTCTTCACATGACTTCTGGGGCCATGTATCCTGGAGTCCCAGAAGTTTCTGATGAGTTTTCGGGGTTCCAAATTCTAGCGATACCGAGGTCTGTAACTCGAACATAGCCTTGCTCATCCAGTACAAGATTTTCAGGTTTGATATCTCTGTGGATTATTGAGTTTGTGTGAAGGTATTCAAGTGCCACTATAATGCAAGCAACGATGAACTTGACTTCTTCTTCAGTGAATCTCCTTTTGCTGCCTATATGGTACCTGAGGTCCCCTCCTTTCATCAAGTCCATGACTAGGTATAATGTCTCAGAGTTCTGAAATGCATACCTCATATTTACCAGGAAAGGGTGTCTTAGAGTCAAAAGGAGCTTTTGCTCGTTCATGACTGAGTTTACTGATCTTTTAGTGATAATTCTGTTCTTGGACATCTCTTTCATTGCATAATACTTTCCAGTCTAAATTTATGATAAATACTTTTCTTCATTTCCAAATTAGATAAAAATTATCATGCAAGTAATATAGTTAATTTTTAATATTCCAGAGCTTTCTTAGGAGGGAATTCCTTTCCGAATCCATCTTTTCACAATCTCAAAGCAAAATAAGTAATTTGGTCAATTTTACTAAGAAGTGCTCTATTGATATAGTGAGAAAATATTCAAAATTTTACATCTATCAAGCCTAATTCGCTATTAACAGTGCTAACCCCATATTAAACTTTATCTCTTGAATTACGGATATATGGCCTCGTCCTGGGCTTCTTAAAACTTGGTAGAGACTCTAGAGGATGAAATTTATTCCCTCTATGTATCCACTACTGAATATTTTCTAAATTGTTGGCCAAGCTTAAATTTCTATTACTTCAAATTGGATTTTCCTAAATTCCTATGACTATCTCTCTAGAATATTCTTAATCTTTGACATGAATAAAGGAAATTCTTTTCAGAGTCTCTGGAGATCCTTGAAGGTTTACAGGCTCTTTCTATCTCCTTCGGGTCCGATCCTTAGCAAGTACTAATCTTCTATCAAACCTCAGTATTGTTGGTATAACTCCAATACTTATAATTAAGCCGAGGGTTACCTTATTTATTCTGAACATGCCAGACTTTTCCGAAACCTCCTCTACCAATGACTTTATCCAGGGTAAAGGTTTGTTTGGAGATCTTGTGGGCATCGGCTTCAGCCTCAGCTTTACACATATTATTTCCCATTTTGAATTATATTTATTTCTTTTAGGAATTTAACTGGGGTTTTGGGGTTTTGGGGTTTTGGGGTTTTGGGGTTTTGGGGTTTTGGGGTTTTGGGG